ACTGTGGTCCTGAGGCAGCACAGCCATGCACGTCTGAGCCCTGGGCCCACAGCCAGTCTGGTTCTCCCTGCATCTGTAGGATATTGGTCTGGGGAGCTATTATCCATTACGCGATTGACGCACACTGGCACGCAATGTGCAGTGCTATTGCATTGCCTGTGGAGAACTAACTTCACTAATCGGTTTCCAGTTGCCTCCAGTATTGAATTGCTGTTAGCTAGCCAATAGCTACTTTACTGGGATCACCAATACTGGAAGCAACTCCTTTCAGAACCCTTTCCATAGTGGCCAGCAAATCCTTTCAGAGTGGATGCCTCTCACAGCTTGTGCATGCAGCTCCTCCAGTTGGCCAGGGCAGAATATACATTAAAATGCATATAGAGGTCCTCCCTGAGGAGCTGAATATAGTGCTGGATACAATGTTCATAGCCCTTTGTATTTCTCTCCCTTATAAGTTACTGCCTTTCTCACTTCTTCCTCCATAGTTTTCCTCCAGTCTTGTTTGTTTTGAGTTTCTCCTTTTTCTCTAGACCAGTCATGTATAGAAGGTCTTGCTTACCTTAGTGAACACAGATTTTTGGTCTGCGAGCTTCTCTTCGAGAATGAACTTCATAAACGTTTTTCAAATGGAGGTAGAATGAGTAGCCTAGGAATGCAGAATTTTAACTTTCTCCTGTTGGTTTGAAATTAATTTCACTGTTAATTTTTGTGTTGCTACAGGCAGGCTCATGGTATTAGAACTGAGCATAACTTTTCTGGTTTATTCCGAAATTTTGTTCACTCTCAGATTGCTGTCCCAAACATTTACGTTGTAAATCAGCAGGCAGGCTGTATTTGATTAATCAGTGCAAAATTTAAACTTGATACTTAAAAGACTTGATACATAAAAGCTAGAGGTTTTGCTTGCATGTTTTTCAGACAGACATTGTTGTCATCAGTGTTTCCAAAGATCTCCAGCTTGATCAAGGGCCACTCGCTAAGGCTTTGCTAAGCAAGGCAGGGCCAATGCTTCAGACGGGCTTAAAAGAAGAAGGCCTTAGAAGAACACCTCAGGAAGGATCTGTGTTGAAAACAGAAGGTTACAATCTAGGTTGCAGTGTCGTGCTTCATGCTGTCGTACCTGCATGGTCCCAGAGACATGCATCTCTAAAGGTATAAGGGGTTTTGTTTGCCTGAACTCTAATTTGACTGGGCTTTATAGTGGGTTTAATGCAACTTCTCCTTTAAAATGAGGGGCAGTTTTGTAGGAGATGAGAGAGTTTGGGCTGTTCTTTTTTAGCTGTGTGGTTAATCCCTTGTTGACTAGTATATTCCTTGTGATGTATGCAATTATTGTATTTTAATACCAAGAGATAGCTAAAAGGGAAAGTGCTACGTTGCACGTACTGGAAAAAATTACTTTCAGTAATTGAAAAAAATAATTGTGCTTTACAGGTCTTGGGTGACATCATCACAAAATGCCTGCAGATTGCTGAGGAATTATCTTTAAAGTCAATTACTTTCCCAGCAATTGGGACAGGGAATTTGGGATTCCCAAGGTCTGTTGTTGCTAAATTACTGTTTGACAAAGTGTTTGAATTCAGTAGTAAAAATGGAGTAAATTCTCTTGAGGAAGTTCACTTTCTGTTGCATCCGAAAGACACAGCTAACATTCAGGTGAGTTACCGTGTTTTTCTGTCTCTATTATATGCTGTTTTATTTGGGTCTTTCTCATGATACTTGGCTATCTGATGATCTCCAAAGAATCCACAGGGTGCTTGTTCTTATACTAAAGAGGTTTGCTGACAGTCTCTCTTGTCTGTACTGAAAGTTCTCTGTTTGGTTCTACCCCTCATGGTCACCTGCCTGTCCTGTACAGCCCTGCTCCCTTCCTGTCCTTTTCTGTTCCCTGGCATTAATACAGATGAAAGTGTTATTACTCTTTATCTCATGAACTCACCTAATTCTTCGGTACATAGGACTTGCCTACAGATAAATTTGCTGCAACTCCTGCATAGATGCCTTCACTCTTGGAAAAAGGAGTGCTTCCAGTGGAGTGCTAGTGTCATTTTAGGAAGAATAATTATGCTAGGATTGCTGTGCTGGTAAACTTCTCCAGTAGAAATGTATCAATATTCTGCATCCCCTTTTACTCAGTATCACGTTAGCACAAATTTTCTATATCCACAGGCAAGTTACTCATTTCACATGTGAATATCTCAAAAGCGAGCAGTCACACTGTGAATTAATGTCCAAATAAGTTTGTGCATCTGTTGACTTCCGCTATTTTGTGCAGTAGCTAATACATTTTGAAAGGCCAAACTTGAAGGTTACTGCGCTAAAGCCTGAGCTATTGTGCATAGAGGAGGGTGGCATTAGCTGCAAGACTTGAATTAGAGTGTAAACTAGCTTCAGTGTAATGTATCCCTCTGGAATGGTAACTAGGGCTTTGACTTAGTTATTTATCAATTCTGTCTGTGCTCACACTGAATAACCTTGCTCTCTGAGAACAACAGTGTGTCAAGACTTGCCATCAGCATTATGGCAGATGGTATGAAGTAATTTGCGTTAAGGTCTTTCTAAATTATTTTTAACTTTACTTTTCAAACTTTTGTTTCTACTGTGTTATCTAAACACTTCTACAGGGGTTGATTGTAATTTCCTTCTCTAGGAATTTTCAGATGAACTTGAGAACAGATGTGGAAATACTGTAGACGTTAAAGTGCAGAAGACTTCTCCAAATAAGGCTAGCCGAGGCACAGGTAAGCTTGTTTCACAGAAGTTGTGTGCCTAGTGGATTTTTTTATTCTGTTAAATATTCGAGGGAATGTATTCATTATGGATGTTTAGATATTTGTTTGGTGAGCATGTCATTCCCAAAGTCCAAGTAACAGTTGAAGTGGCTGCTGTAAAGGCAGCACATAGTATTTTCAGGCTGAGTGTCTGTAATGTCTGAAACTGTGTTGGAGATGCTACGAAAAAAGAAATGTACCTGCAATTCATTATCTGGATAGTGCCCCTACAAATCAGGACAGCAGAAGCTATCATGTGCTGAGGGCACAAGTAGGGCTTTTTCTCTTATTGCTGCAGTACTTGATTGGATCATGAGCAGGTCAGTGTCTTCCGATGTCCTGGGAAGGCAGTGAGTTCCTGGGTATATGTCTTAAAGTGGCCTCTTTGGAATACTTTTAAATCTTTTACATGTTCAGATGAATAGCAAAACCAAACTGAAATATCTTTGGTGTTATCCAGCCTAATGGAACTGCAAAGTGTAGAAAATAAGTTACATGTTGAAAACTTAATCAAGTTTTTACAAATAATGCATAGGTAAAAAGTTCCTGTCGCACAGTAGAGAATCTGCCTGAAAACTCTGTGAGTCAGAGGAGCAAGGGAGTGAGACTTGGAAAGTTCGCTGCTCTCTTACCTTGGAGTTGCGCAAAGGCTTACATAGTAAAATGTCGCAAAGTAGTGTCTGTATACCAGGTGTGCAGCAAAACAATTTTTTTCTGCCATCTCAGCCTGAATAGCAATGATGGGAATAGGTGAATGTTGATCAGAGACTCCTGTGAGAAGGAATGATTTTCAGTTAACATGGCAGGCGGTCCTCTTCACTGGCTGAGTCTGGAGGCAAACTGTGGTCTCTGTAGGCGTTGTACCCATGAACAAGTCCCTTAGCACTTACCTCATTGCTCCCTTCTGCTCAGGGTCCATATTTCTTTCCTGCAGCTTTCTGTGGTACCTCTTCAACCCCAGCACAGGATGTACATGAAATGACGATTGGCTCTGTCGTGTTCCGGGTGGCAGAAGGCGATATTACCAAAGAAGACGGAGATGTTATTGTAAACATAACAAACCAAACCTTCAGCCTCAAAACAGGTATTTTAGTTGGTATTATGTGTGAAAACAGTACATGTGGTTGGAAGGGCTGGAGAAGAAGAGTATGAAGTATTTTTTCCAATGTTTCAAACCCTTTTGTTCCACAGTGTGGTTTCTGTTTTGTTTCTTAGGGTACAAAGGTTCAATTAGGAAGTGTCTGAAACTTTCTTTTTCTTGTTAATATATGTTACAGGATGGCATGTTTAGGACTTGCAGAAAGGGAAACTAATAATTTTTTTTTTTTTTATAGAATCTTTTTATAGAACATCTCTCGGACTAAAGGAGAAGACAAACCTCAGTGAGGTTTTGACCTCAGTGAAACTTGTTAGGTACTTTAGACATCGCTTTGAATTGAAAAGCATAAGCCTAAAATTTAGGCAACAGTGCTTTTCAATTATAACCTTTACAGTTATCAGGATTGATATATTTTAGACATTATGTGGTACACAGTTCTGCCTCAGATGGGACTTTAATGGCATTAACAGTAGTAACAGTGGATTCGTATGCCTCTTCTCATTTAAGGTGTCTCTAGAGCAATTCTGAACGGTGCTGGAAAAGCAGTTGAAGATGAATGTGCTCAACTAGGTATGGTACAACATTACTGACCTCCTTTCTGAAGGTGTTCATGCGTGGCAGGGAATCTGTTGGAATACTTTGAGTGCCTACTGTATATCCATCTGTATCATGCACTATGTTACATCAGCTAGTTTTTAATCAGTAAATGTGATATTTGTGAAACATCTAATGAGGGAAAGAAAAGCAAAATCTTCAAGAAGACAGGGCTTCTAAGCATATGTAAAGAACTAAATCTAGTTATTATTGCATCCTCTTATTCCAAGAAAGCTTTCCATGATAAAAACAAATCGAGTGTACATCGAACAGAGCCATGAGCAAGGGATGATGTTGGCAGAAATGTCAATAGAGAAACCATACCTCACTGGAAGCAACTGTCTACCTGCAACTTCTTTTGTCATTCCCGAGTGAGAAAATGTTTGCTGTTGGCTTAACTAGCAACCCACTACCACATCCTCTGTGTGACCAAGAGGGAAAACTGGTGAAATTGGGTTCCTGCCTCAGAAGAGGCATTTATTTGTAGACCAAATTGAGCTAGTGAACAGCAGATATAATGAATGGGGAGTAAGGGTGGACAAGTGTGTGGTTTAAAACACCACAGAATAAGGGAAGTGGGAAAGACGCTGGTGTAGAGGTCAGCTTGGAAGACCAACCAAAGGAAAAGAATTATGTGGAGGTGATAAGAGGTAGACCTCTGTTGCGCAGGCCAAGATGGATTCAGCCTGGGCAGTCTGATGTTAGATGGCATGCTTGTGTGTTCATGAAGACAGAATGTAGTACTAGTTTGCATGAAGTTCTCCAAGTCTGCAGAGCAAACTTGGCAAATAAAGGCACACACAAAATGTATTTGCCAAACGAGGCAAATATTTTACAAATGTAAAATAAATCCTTGTGCCTTGAAAGTGAAAACAGAGGGAGGGGGTTGCACAGTTTGTGGAAGGAGACTTGAAGCTTATCCTGGAGCATATTTGTCGTCATTTCTTCTCTCCTAATGAGGATTAGTACACATCTATATTGTGGATAATGGTTGATTGATTATATTCTCCTACTTATGTTACAGCCTCACTACCTAAGAGCAGCTATATCACCACCCGAGCAGGAAGCCTGCCATGCAAAAAAATAATTCATTTTGTTGCCCAAAATGATATCAAGGCACTAGTCTCCCAAGTGCTTCAGGAGTGTGAATTACAGAAGTACACCTCTGTCACCTTCCCAGCAATTGGAACAGGTCTGTGTCTCCCTTTTGAAATGGGTTCAGTGCATGTGATTCTGCTGATCTCAGGGTTCAAGCAATGAGTTTGATTTATCTGGAGGGGTTATTCTTTGGTGAAAATATATTCAGAAACTGCAGACTTTAAAACTGTTACTAGAAGCTTATGAAGATCTAGAAAGACGCTTCACTCCTTGCAGTCAGTTAGTGCTCTAGAGTATGAGTGCTCTAGAGCTGACGCTTCCTTGCTAACAGAGATTCAAAGGTATGTCTGTACTTCCTGGAGAACCATAAATATTTGTCACAGCAGCCTGATATGTGTGGGCAGCTCATTGGAGAATATCCAGGGAGCTACTTCTCCATTGCTGAAATCAGTAGATGATGCAGCTCTGGCTAGCAGCCGCACAAGCAGGATTGACACGCATGGAATGTGAACCTGTCAGAAAGGCCAGATTGTCCCTTTTTTCTTCTCTTGTTATTTTCAGTTAGTTCAGTAGAAATCTCTAGAGTCAGAGAATCCAGAACTGGGCCCCATGCATGCAGGGACCTCTTGCATGAACAGAACTAGGCTTGCTTTTTGAGCAAAGAGTTGGCTACTGGGCCACTGAGCATCGGACCTGTGACCTATTAGGTAACCAAGCCATATCATCTACATCATAACCTGATCAGTTGCCATGTCAACAAAAGTAAACTTCCATTTTTCCCTTGCTGGAAAGGTGGTCTCAAACCTCCTTTTCCTGATAAATAGAAACCTTTCCTAATTGCCAGTCTGAAGTTATTTCTGATCTGTTTATGATCCAAGTGATTGTGGATATGTTCATAACTGTTCTTTTAAGGACATTTTAACCATTTGTAACAGCTATTAACACTTTTTAAAGGCAAAATGTTTGTAACTTGTTTCAGGTGAGGCAGGCCGTGATCCAGCTGCAGTAGCTGATGACATGATAGATGCAGTAACTGAATTTGCAAGAAGTAACTCTGCTCCATCTGTGAAAACTATTAAAGTTGTCATTTTTCAGCCACATCTGCTGAGTGTGTTCCATACAAGCATGCAGAAAAGAGAAAGTTCTGCAAAACCAGCAGCCAAATCCTTGTTTTCCAAGTTAACATGTAAGTAGATATTATGTCAATGCAGGTTATAGATCAATCTGTTTAGCACCAGCTGATAATGGTTAATATTAATTACAACACTTGTGTATTTCAATGTAGCATTCTGGAGCTCTGAGAAACATTCCCCAAAGGAAAAAACCAAAGTAGTTTTGGAAAAGAAAATGGACCTGGCTGTTGTGCAGATTTGTGGTGAAAACAAAGAGAAAGTGGAAGAAGCTGAAAACTGGTTGAAAAGTGCAATTTTAAAGGAACAGTTTCAAATAGAAATCACAGATGAGTCTATCTTTCATTTCGGTGAAGTGGAGACTGAGGAACTGCGTGACCTACAAAAGAAATTAAAAATTGATCTTCATTTGGATAGTACCTCTATTCAAATTTCAGGTGTTGAGAAAGATGTCTGGATTGCTTATTCAACTATTCGAGAAATGATCCACAGGGTAAATGCTGCTAAACAGGAGGAGATCAGGGCAGAACTTTTACAAAACTTAATTGAGTGGAAATACTTTGAAAAGGATTCCTATGTGCCCTTTGACAGTCTCACAAATATGCAGTTGGAAAATGCTTTTGTGGGAAAGCAGAAAGAGATTTCAGTCATCATTGATAAGAAAAAATACACAGTGAATATAGAAGCTAGATATGCTATGGATGACCAAGGAAAACGTACACCCATTATACGTGTTGATAAATCTGAAGGTAAGTAAAAGCATCCTGACAGACTGACATTCCCACACTAAAACCAGGTTGCATCCAGCCTAGTAAGAGTAAGAAATGGTAAGAATATGCAAAATATTGTTAGGAGCTTTGTGCAGGTCCATTTCTGGAGAATGTAGAAAGGAACTGAATTGGGAAACAACAATAAAAGAATCCTGCAGTTATTTAAAATTTTTTGAAATGTAGGTAATGCGTTCTGAGGTTCTTAAACAGGCTTATTAGCAGTAATTAGATGTTTGTAGCAGTTGTCATTCTAGATCTCAGCTCATTTCTGTTTTTGAGATGAGCCCTCTTCCACTTCTGGTCCTTTACAACATAAGGAGCTACCTTTTTCTTACTCATCCGTACAGGACTTTTCCCAGTGTATTATTTTTCTTTGTCCTGCTGTGACTCAGTTTTACAGGGGCATGTTTTATACCTTAATGGGAACAACTTTTTTGTCCACTTCACACTTGAAAGTGAAAGTGGACAGGTTTAAGTAACTGCGCAGCTCTCAATGCCTTAGTAATGCCTCCTGCATGTATTTTCAGACTTTTGTTTTTTGGTCTCTTACCAAAAACTGTCACGTCTAATTGAGGGAACTTATAATGCCGGATATCTGTAGCATATGCATCAGTCAGTGTTACTGTTTAACAATACAGCTAGATACTAGGCCTCACATGAAATGAGAGAAGGGAAGAAAGGGAAGACTTCTGCTTGTCAGATGCAGAGTATATTCTTGAACTTTTTAATTTAAAACCTTCCTTGTTCAGCTGCTTTGCTCCTAGTCTCCTAGTTGATGAGAATTAACTACTCAGTAAAGATGCATTTGCTCCATGTCCTTGAAAACTTGATTTGCAGGGAACACTACTGCTAGAAGATGTTGCAAAGGATCCCTCTTCAGCTATGAGGAACAGATTTGTCTAGGAACTACCAATTCGGGCACATCAATTGCCAGTGCAGTGGCAAACTAGAAACTACAACACCCTAATCCTCTGGTAAAAGACCCATGGAATACTCTTGGCTGACAAAGACCAGTAGGCACTAGTGATAAGCTAGGTGTATGGGCTTCTAGAAGGGTTTGTAGCAGGGCATATTTCATTTTAAGCAGAGGATTTGGTTAAATATGATTGATTATGTTTCTTCTGCAGATCAGGAGTCAACAGTGCTCCCTGCAACGTGGGACGATATGCAAAACCAGCGACTCAAAATAGTGGAACTAAAACCAGAAACAAGAGAATATAGAGATGTGCAGGAAAGGTTTCTGAAGACCTGTCAGTCATTAAAAATTGAAAAGGTAAAAGCGTGTCATCATTTCGGAGCATAAATACTTTGATAGCGAGTGATGAGGAATACTAATAACAATGGAAAAATAAACTCACTGGGATTTCTGAAGTTGGACAAGTCTTTATGGCTGTCACTAACTTTAATCAGCATCAGTTTAACATTGCAGTTGAGGTATTTGGAACAACTCTTAAGCAGTTGCTCCTTCAGCACCAAGGGAGAGCGCTCTTTCTTTAAATTGTTTTTGCTATAGTAGAGCACAGCATTTGCTTGCTTAAGCTGTGGTGTATGATTGCACGGACCCTCACATATACATGAACAGAGTCATATACATGCACAGAATCGTTTATTGTTACAATGCAGGAGAATATATTCTTTACCATAACGGGGAGGTCCCGCTCTCTCCCCCAATCATCACCCGACTCGTATCCCTTATTAGCTATGAAAAACAGTCTCTCTTCCTTTTGGCAATGATCCACACGTCTGCTCTCAGATCCACTTATTCTCATGGTAACTGGTTAACATCATAATTCTCTTGATGTTTTCAGTTTCCTTACAGAGGAGACAACTAAGCCAGGTGTTCAGGTCTTATCTCAGGCGTCTGCTAGTTCTCAGCGCACAGGCCGAAGTTCTATCTTATCTTGGCCGAAACTCCCAACTCCACAATTCTTCTCCACACTTAAGCCAAGTGTGCTTTGCAGGTAGGCATGTCATCTAAGCCCCAGAAACCTGTGAAACTGTCCTATATTGTTTCCCATGGTCGGAAAAAAGGAGGGTCCACCACATTTGCCCAATAAATGTGAGCTTCCACAGGTTGAAACATCATGATAGTGCCAATTCCCCATAGTATCATCGTGGGACAAGACTGAGCAGAAAACAGCACTGTGGACCATATTACTAATGTTGACCTGACTGCATTACCGAACCGTCGTAAGAGTAGCATCCTCTCGTTCTTCCTCCTCGGATCCTTTTTCTGGGCCATCTGCCAACACCTGCGCTGGCTTCCCATTCTTCATTCTTCAGCAGGGACCCAATATGAGCCTGTAGGAAGAGAAACACAAGCGTATCCCCGTCCCCAGGTAAGCAAGGGAACTGGACCTTTCCATAGACCTGATTCTAAATGTTTATAAAATACCTTCAGATACACTTCAGTAACCTCTCCTGTTCGAAAATGCCAGTCAGCAGCCGAATGATATTGCTGCTTTGACCCTGACAAATTTAAAAAATTTAATACATAAGTGGCTTTATCTAACATCTCTTGAGGCATAGTTCCCAGCGGATTCTCCCTTTTTTGTTTTTCAAGATCAGCTTTAAGGAAGAGTGAGCATGTTCCACAATTGCTTGACCTGTGGGGGAATGCGGAATACCTGTAACGTGGTACAGCCCCCTTGCCTGTAGGAACAATAACAAC